TCTATTTTAGCTTGTTGTGCCATATTTACGTATATTCTTGTAGATTCAGACGTTTTCAAAACTAACTTTTCCGTTGTGACCAGATAACCTCAATCGTAATTTGATTTCATAATTGCACTTCATATTTATTAACTTTTTCGTGAAACCACTTAACCACGCTCTGCTACCATGTTGAAGTGGTGGATGTGGTTGAATAATAGATAATAGCTTGTTATATTTCGTAGTTTTATTAAAAATCTCACAGAAAGCACATGATGGGCGCCATGCAGACGACAAAAGGAAAGGATACAGATAATATATCGACGTCTATGAGAAACTTGCCAACTTAACACTAGATGGCGCTACTTATATTATTTAACTTAAGATTATAATATTTACCTTATTACAACAGTTCCGTGCGGGAATCGAACCCGCGACACGTTGCACGGCAGCCGGTTGCCCAGCCACCGCACCAACCGTGCAGTCAAAAAGTAAATAATTGTATGTGAGGGTGTTTGTATAAAAGTCAGTGTTTAACCAACTTGCGTGCGTTTCATTACGACACCCTGCCTATATTCCAAAGTTGATCAAAATTCGTTCAGTAGTTTTAAAGATTGATGAACAAACATCCAAAAAATGAAACTTCCATATTTATAATATTAAGTAATTGGGCCTATGGTCACGTCACTCACACAACGAAACACAACGCTAGCGTTGTTTCACGTCGGTTTTCTGCTCGACCGTGATATCACTCCGGTCGAGCCAGCCCATTCCTGCCGAAGCATGGTTCTCCCACACTTTTGCAAAATACTTTTCTATTTACTTATGCTTTTGATAGATAGATTATTATACTGACTGGAAGGAAGTTAAAGGAAATTTATTATTTGCATTAATTAAAGTAATGTTTTCCCATGAAAACTGTCTGATACATACGGAAACTATAAACTATCTATTTTATAGAACGTGCCATAACATGAGTCACGCCATTAATTATGTATTATTATGTAATAAATAATTATGTAAATAAACATAACGAGAACATTTCATTTCTTCGAAGGTGTCACCAGATGTGTGTTTACGATGCCAATTTTAGGTAGCTGGTATGATTACTAATATTGATTATTGAAGAGTAATTGTATAGGTCCCGATGATGCTTGAAACTAGTCGTGCTAATGTTGATGATAATTTAAGTGATTATACTGCATATTTTGTTCAAATATTAGTCAAAGTACTTACGTTAGTCAAAAACAAATTGTGTCAATTTTCAGTAATTGATTTGACAATCTAGCGATTTATTTTAATGGGTAGTTGTTGTTATATACTACATACAACAATACGAGATTTTGTATTATGATGTCAAGTTTTTTAGGATCTAACAAAATATTTATTCCTTAAAAATTTGCTTGAAAAATACTAAAATTAAGTTAGTCACAAAGTCAATTAATGAAGGTGTAATTATTATTTTTTTCATTTTATTGTATTCAACAGTCGAAATTGTGTATTTTTGATTAAAGCAAGTAACCAATTTCCTTAAAAATAAGTATGTTATTTGCCTAAAGAAACTATGACATCATAACTCATAACACAACCCCTTAGAGAATGTTATAGATGTCAATAGTAATACCTATCGCGCATTGCTGGATGGAAAGCGGAACCGTTGAGAAGTAACGGCCACTAAAACCGCCTGCCTTAATTAATGAATATACAATAGCAGTCATAACATATTCATACAAATTTTATATACATCTCATAGTTAATATGTTATGTACAATAACTGTCACATCTGCCCTGCTACTATTTAATTTATTACAAGTCGTTCGCACGCTCTCATTTTCTGCCAGTTTTTGTTTATTTCGACACGCGAATAGAATCATGTCTACAAACAAAATTAATGTTTGTGAACTACAATTGTTACTAGATTTAGAAGATGGTAATTGCATGGAAAGAAAGACACGTGAAATAATAAAGAAAGTTAAATAATTAATGGCTGTTAGACATTGTAAGCAAGAACTGGGAAAGATTTATGTTTTGAACTTTGAGTGAATTTATTTGGCGTCTCCAAAATGTTAGGCCGAATATTGTTGTGAGTTTTGAGCAAAGGATATTTGAAGCCTAATTTATGATTCCTTTCTTTAGTTAGTATATAAATAGAATATATAATATAATAGAAATAAAAGAATGTATAATATAATAGAAATATATAAATAGAATATAGCTTGAGATGTAGACTTCTATCACTATATTTGCTACTATGGCAGCGGAACCATTCGCCGCCACCAAAAAAATCTATGGAGCTGTATCCCTATACAGCTCCATAGATTTGTGGAGGATGGATTGATGGATGGATGGAATGGATTGCGTGTAAATCTGGTGGCGCGACCAGTTTGGAAGCCAGCATTAGAGTTTTATTTTATTTCTGTTGCAATGTGGTGCTCTGGTGTCTAGTTTGGTAGCTTACGGACACCACTGTGGCGCATATGGTTGCGCTGCCATGACGTCTCGGTGAAATAAAGCTCTTAAGTCAAAGATCGCATGGTATCCAGCTATGAAGTTGATTAAAGCCATGTTCAGCTGTAGGCATTACTGGACTGGAGATGTTGTTTGGTCTCGGGATCGGCTTTGATTGTAATTTATATTATGTTTATATCTACATGTTGAAACCTTGGGTTGGGCCAAGTGTCTACTATTGGCGGAAACTAGAATCGACAGTTTGGAAATAAGTAAAAACTCCCTAGTCTTAAAGTAAATAAAAATAATAATTAGAGCAACCCGTTTATTTGCCGACTGTTTAGGCTCCGGCTATGACGTCCAAGGATACTGTCGAAATCGATTAGATTCTCCTCCTATAAATAACATGGCGCCCATAATATATGCAGTAAAAATTTGACGTATTACAATGTGTAGGACCCCGCTGTCTATTTTTCGTTTTTAATAGATAGGCGTGACGTCATAATGACGACGTTTATAATGTCTTAAGAAACTCAGGAGTAGCAATTTGTATTTTGTTAAAATCTATATATATAAAAGAAAGTCGTGTTAGTTACACTATTTATAACTCAAGAATGGCTAAATCAATTTGGATGAAAATTGGCAGGGAGGTAGCTTAGAACCAGGAGACGGACATAGGATACTTTTTACCCAATTCTTTTTTTTTACTTTTTACCGAAAATCAAGAACGGGAACGGGAAATATCGGGATTGCGCGTACGAAGTCGCGGGCAGAAGCTAGTATTTTATAATACTATTTATTTTACATTTTATTTCCTAATCTAACATTAAAGATTACCAATTAGCTCTCTCATGACAGAGTGACAGACATATTTTGCCGTATTGGCTTAAAGTATTATTCTAATGCTGTGTCCTGTAATCTAATGTGTACATACATAGCAATCACCTTCCCTGTCTGTGACAAAACATGAATATTCGCAACAACACGCAAAACTATCGTGAGACTGTAAGGACGCTCTTCCATTGCGGCGCTCAGACGATTCGTTAAATTCACTGTCTATATTAATACGTATGTGTTGAACCCACGCGAAAATTTGGGCAGTGTATGCATGATTAAAAATCTTATTTATTTCGTACTCTATATTTATGGAGGGAAAATAATAATTGTTCCGAAAAACAAATTAATCTCCAGCGATCTGTGGCCGACTATAAAAATGGATCTTCGAATAATAAAACTAAACTTCGGAATAGAATATGATTCAATATTCTAAGTTACCGACAACAGACGTTTTAGATTAGGTTAGGTTAGTATTGTAGCAATAAACAGTCATGTAAAGTAGTCGGAAAGTTAGTATTTTAGGCAGTAGATTTAATATTTTCAGTAAGGACAATTCTTCTTGTCTTGTACGAGCTTTTATTACTACCCTTTATGAAGGTGAGCTTGAATAATCAAAGGTACTATTAATAATAGTTATTAAACAGTCCTCTAACCTAGATTATCTTATAGAACAGAGGGGCAAACGAGCAAACAAATCACCTGAGGGTATATTATTATCGCCGCATAGGTGTCCATGGACACCCGTAATTATCAGAGTGTCCAATACTGAACACACAGGTGACTTCATTTAGTTTTTATGAATTCTGCTCAGAGAAACCGAGCACTATTCTGACAAGAAATCGCGGGAATATGACGCGTTTCAATCAATATTATTATGACCTATTAATACGCGTCATAAACCGCGCGTGCCCATTACAACGCGCCGCAGTTAACCAGCGTCTTTACACGCATCCACGTCAAATCACATGCGTGCAAGCACGTGCTACCAACGATTAGTAGATAAGTCATTAATCTGTAGTAATTAGATAGATTTCTAGCCGTAAAGCATGATTTACTAGTCAGGTAGAGATAGGAAAGATTGATTGACTGCGCTACTTTATATTGTGACGTCAAAAGCCTGTTTTTTCCCAAGAGGAGGAGTGGGGGTAGGTAGTGGGGTTTTTGTAACCGCTTAGGTAAGTTGATTATCGTTCTTTGACTGGATTTTGGTGTTACATTGTTCTCACATAATTGAACCAACAAAACGATGTTACTAGAGAATTGTATTGTAAACCTGGTTGAAAAAGAGTAACCGATGGGGTTTCTTGCTCGTTCTTCTTGAGCAAGTAGCTTCACTTTTAATGTTTTTGTTTACGTTCAAAAGTTCCTTCTTGGCCTAATATCGAAACAAATGATTTTGACTTTGACTTTGCATTCTAGCTGTTAATTAACAGAATATTAAGTGGTATGTGTAGACCCTTTCGTCAGTTTTCAAAATTCTTATTTGATATCAAAGATTCAAAACCCAAAAGAGATAATAGGATCATATATAGTTGTTTAAGCCCAATGTTTCCAGGAAATAGAGAGCTCCACATTTAATATTATGCGTTACGTTATATAATATTGCGTATTGGTGTGTTGATATCTTGGTGTATTGGTCACCTATATTGGTGTATTGGTCACCTATATTGGTGTATTGGTCACCTATATTGATGTGTTGGTGACTTGTTGATACTTTAGGCGTTAAAAGACCTTACCTTAGAGACCGGCTCCTCACTCCAGCCCCCGCAGTTAGCCATGCCCTCCAGTAGTGTGAGTTCACTGTAACAAACAAACAGACAAATCGTTAGTTATGATGTTCATTTTAGATTGTGACTTGAGAATCGTAGTGGAATGTGTTATTAGAGAGAGGTGTGGATTGAAAGACGATGTAGTGACAAGGATTGAAAAGGGAATGTTACGCTGGTTTGGACATGTAGAAAGGATGGATGAAAGTAGAGTAACGAAAGAAGTATACAGAGCGGATATGAATGGAGCCGTCGGTAGAGGGCGCCCTAGACGGACATATAGGGACCAGATTGGCGATATATTAAAGAAGGGCCAAATTAAAAGTACCCTTAACCGACGAGCATGCATAAAAAGATTGATGACTGTTAATGAAGCGAAAGAGGTATGTAAGAATCGTAGTAATTGGCGTTTCTTAGTCTCTGCCTACCCCCATGGGAGACAGGCGTGAAGTTATGTATGTATGTATGTATGTAGAATGTTTCTGGTTACGCGGTGGTACAGTTTTATAATTTGTATTATAACTTTCGTGAGACTTACTAAATATAATTATTATTATGTTTTCGGTTTAAGCACGTAATAATTTAACGAGGAACTCGACTAGTTTCAAGCCATACTAGAGGCCCATATTCTAGTACTAGCTACTCAGTAGCAGCGCGACAGTCGCCGCGTCGCGGGTCGCAAAATGCTGCTCATGAATAGGACCCTCTAGTATGGCTTGAAACTAGTCGAGTTCCTCATCAAATAATAACGTGAGTAAGTCGAAAACATAATAATACAATTTTATATAATATGTATTCAATTATTTTCCTGTTTGAGTATTAATGTGTAGTTCCACATTAACAGCATATTTATGCCCACTACTGAGCATAGGGCTATATCAATAGCTCTTATCACTCTAATCATGTAACAACACCGTTCGATGCCCATGGCAAATTCATTGGATGGGCATTCTCTTCCGTATAAAAAAGGGAAGTTCAGATTTGTTATATATTTTCAATATATAATGCAATAATTATTTATGTGTAAATTTAAACAAGCTAGTCAGGAACACACTCATATATTTTTAAAAACAAAAGAAGAACATAAATATGTTTCCCAATTGAAAGTGGCCAGCTTGCCACAGATTACATAAACATACATAACAAGATTAAAACCTTTGAACAGGGGATCCTCCCAGCTCGGGACCCGAGGCATTTTACTGACTTGACTCTCTGTAGTTACGCCACTGATCACCACGCTTGTTTAAGGCGGGTTGGCGATGAAACGGGAAAAAAATAAATAGGTGTGCCAGATATAATTCATAACTTATTTATCGCATTCACTATCGAATTCTCACTTTTTCCTAACATCTAGATTCCTCTAAGTATTCCTCAGTTCCACTCAATGACCATGACCCAATTCCTGGACATCTTTCAACCGCTCGTTAAATGGAAATTCACATGAAAATTTATAGCTTTCTGCTTACCCCACTTTCCTTGCAAATCATAGCGTAGCGTTAACATCAACGTATTATTGAAATCGCCCGCGGAAAATAAGATTTCTAACTGTCACATATTTTCTAACAAAGATCCCTGGTATCGAACTAAATGTTAGTGGAAAGAGGTCTAGTTGTGCTGGTCGTTATAAATTATTACTATTTTGTTAAGAACCCTGGTTATAAATTAAATGTTAGTGGCGAGAGGTCTAGTTACGCTGGTTATTTTAAATTGATGCCATTTTGTTGGGAAGTCTTTGAATTGGATTAAACATTAGAAATTGTAATGATTTTATGTTATTTTCTCGGTTTATATGGTTGGAATGTAATGAGAGGGAATTAGTTTATCATAGTTATGTTTTCACTTATGATATAGGTACTTAACTAATAACATTTATTTTTACCGACTTCAAAAAAAGGAGGAGGTACTATGTTCGGCTGATTGTTTCTTTTTTTTCTTTTGTTTGTTCGCGCAGTACTCCGCCGTTTGTGGACCGATTTCGAAAATTTTTGTTTCGTTTATACTCCCGAGATGGTCCCATTTCCATGAAGTCAGGATCTGATGATGGGATCCTAGGGAAACCGAGGGGAACTTTCGAAAATTCTATGGGGGAGTAATGCGTCTATTATGTTTTTCAATTACGAATTTTAAACACTACAATTTGATAAGGGTCTGGAGTCGACCTGATGATGGAGCCGACAGACAATCGAGGGAATTCTTCAGCGGTTTATATTGACTACCTTGTGTTTGGGCTTGATTAATTTGTATTGATGAGGACTTTACACCTAGATAGCGTGGGGCTGTCATTAAGGGTCTGATGCTGAAGAAGTGTTATTGTTAAGGGAACTCCTCAACGGTATACAGTAACTACCTTGTGTTTGGGCTTGATTAATTTGTATTGATGAGGACTTTACACCTAGATAGAGTGGGGCTGTCATTGAGGGTCTGATGATGAAGAAGTGTAATTGTTAAGGGAACTCCTCAACGGTATACTGTAACTACCTTGTGTTTGGGCTTGTATAATTTGTATTGATTAGAACTTTGCACCTATGTTATTATGAGTAACAAAACGGGTATATGTAGCTTTACACTTAAAATAATGAAATAATAAAATAAAAACTGCGTTTAAAAAACCGACTTCAAAAACCAAAAACTAATAACAAACAAAAAGTCAATACTAAAAAGGAAAAAATAACTATTATTAGTACTGATAGGTTACCCACCCACTGATAGGTTAGAAGTCGGTGCCATAAGCTCATATCATAATGATATAACTTAATGTCCACAAAATTGTGAATTAGATACCTATTAAGGTTTTAATGAATAATTTTGTATGGAACTTATGGCACCGACTTCTTACCTATCAGTGGGTGGGTAACCTATCAGTACTAATAATAGTTATTTTTTGCTTTTTAGTATTGACTTTTTGTTTGTTATTATGTGCAGTATAGTCACAAGTTATCATTTCATGACATAGTATGTGTATATGGCAATAAACTCACCTCCTATTAACATGGGAGTCATAACATAAATAGTGATGAATAGATTGGCTACCCCTTCGGGGATAAAAGGTGTGATGTTATGTTATTTATGGGCTTTTACTTCAGACAATATTTTACTAAAACTGAGACTCCTGATCAGTATTGCATTTTTAAAGATTAAATTAAACACGTGGTAAAAAATCTCACATCTCTACGTCATTTAAAATTAATTAATTTTATAAAAAATTTCCACTTCATAATACTTAATACACTTTCCCATAACACATTTCCGTACGTATAACACACGCGAATCGATTAGATCAACGATTACGCAATAATCGGTAACGTCTCGACCGAGAATCGGTTACGTCAACCGATTTTTTTGGAAATCGTTTGATTGTGTGGTTTTGATTACCGTGTCAACTAGTTATGGTAAAATTAGGAAGTAAACCGATTTAAGTGTTTATCTTTGGAGAAATCTGTTATATATTATTGTAGGGCTTGTAACTTTTGAATTTTAAGTCTGACAACACGGTAGGTGCGGTGACTAGGCAACAGGCTGCTACGCAATGTGTCGCAGTTTTGATTCCCGCACGGAGCAACTCTTTGTGTGATCCACAAATTGTTGTTCCGGGTCTGGGTGTCATGTGTATGTGAACTTGTATGTTTGTAAACGCACCCACGACACAGGAGAAAATACTAGTGTGGGGCAACGCTTTAAAAAAAATAAAGAAAAAAAAAACAACTACTCAACGAGACATGCACACCACTGAACAAAAACTAACCATAGACAATAGCCACAAATAGCACAGATGATAAAATAATACATAGACAACATAACAGGATGGGTAATAAAGTGTACGGGACCGATGCGAGACGAATGCTGTCCCCGATAGTGTAGCGGGTTCGATTCTCAGCTAAAGTTATTGTTATCTAGAATTATAGGTATTGGATAGTGGTTTAGCAGTAGTAGATATTTGTGATTTGATGGAGATGTTAGCATTTAGTCCAATCCTGGGATGGGCAGAGGTCTTGAGTAGATTCTTTTAGTTTATCCAAAGGCATTTCATGTAAGTACATTGGGAGTTAGGTATACTCATATGAACTGGGTGTTAGGTAAGTACCTCACACCTACTTTACACAATAAGAGGTTAGCTCAAAGCCATCATCATCAAGTGTGGGAGAGCCATGCTTCGGCACGAATGGGCCGGCTCGACCGGAGTAATACCACGGCCTCACAGAAAACTGACGTGAAGCAACGCTTGCGTTGTGTTTTGTCGTGTGAGTGAGGTTACTGGAGCGGAGGCCTAATTATCCTCCCCTTCCCCAATCTCCCTAATCCCTGAATCCCCAACGATCCTCAAACTCCTAATCTGGGGATTGAAACGAATGGCCGGTAACGCACTTGTAACGCCTCTGGTGTTCCAGGTGTCCGTGGGCGACGCCGATTGCTTACCATCAGGTGATCCGTCTGCTCGTTTACCGGCTTATGCCACAAAAAAAACAACTTTATAAAACCGAAAAGTCTGACGATTCCCTGCGTGGTATGGAAATCGAACCTATTTAAAACTACCTCTATAATGTTTTTCGGCTTACATATGTAATGATTTGACGAGGAACTCAACTAGTTAGCTATGTTAGAGGCTCATATTGAAGTTTGAAACTTGAGTGAGCAGAAAAGCATAAAAACTATTTTAGTATGACTCACAAAAGTTATCTATACTTATAATAAATCTGTAGAGAGGTCAATTCTGTACATACAATATATTTAAAAAATAACTATCAAGGGGTGGTTAGGGATCGCTACTGATGCCAAAAATGCAATCAGTAAAATTTTTGTCTGTCTGTCTGTCTGTCTGTATGTTCATTATGGAAACAAAAACTACTTGATGGATTTTAACGAAATTTGGCACAATTATTCTTCATACTCTTGGGCAGGTTATAGTATACTTTTCATTACGCTACGATCAAAAGGAGCAGAGCAGTGAAGGGAAATATTGGGAAAACGGGAGAAATTACTTCATTTTTTAAGGTTGAAATTAGCTTGACTCGATA